AAAAAGATAAAGGATAGGATGAGGTCCTGGGAGAGTTGGGGGAAGTGGGTTTTCAAGGGCCAAGTGGAGAGGTGAGCCTTAGAGCTGACGCTTGTGCCTCTGAGCTTGGAGCTCATCCAATCAAGTGGGGGAAGATGGAGATCGATTTGGAGTTGGGAACATTTGGGGGACTGGGGATGAAAGCTGGTTATGTATTAATCAGAGCATTTCAAACATCAGTGGTCATCCAACCAAGGCTGGAAAAGATGCATTTATGCTGGAGCTTATCAGAAAGCTTATCGTTTTCCTTGGTTGTTGGAAGATTGGACAGTATTTGAAGAAGCCTGATGAGGATGTGGTGGCAGGCAGGGTTGGAGGAGAGGGATGGAAGGAGGGAGGGAGTTAGAGAGTCGTTAACAGGAAGTAAAGATGGCGGGGATGGCAACTTGGGAACGGAAAGGAAAATGTGAAAGAGGAGGTATTTTTTTTTTAATGTTTATTTATATTTGAGAGAGAGAGAGAGTGCAAACCAGGGAGGGACAGAGAGAGGAGACACGGAATCCGAAGCAGGTTCCGACCTGTCAGCTGGGCACAGGGCTCGAACCCACAAACCATGAGATCGTGACCTGAGCTGAAGTCAGACGCTTAACCAACAGAGCCACCCAGGTGCCTCAGGCAGGGGAGGTATTTTGAAGGGGAAACAGCTGGTAACCTGAGAAAGCATGAAGTTGCAACTTCCACGGAAACATACAGACTCGTAAGAGGGTACACGTCATGATGAAACATTTCTCCAACGAGACAAATATCACAGGCTCCAGGCTTCTTTCTCCTTTCAATAATAATAGTCTAAATAATCTGACATCTTTTTTCCTTGCCGTTGAAATCATATCCAAACACCTTGCTTCTCTCTCTCTCTGCCCAGAGCAGTCTAGTGACTTTCTCAACACTACCCTGCTTGTAAGTGGTCGCCATCGTAACAATCCTCCTTCTCCAAAAAGAAGAAAGCTGACTTAAATAATAACTCCTCGGCACTGATTTGGCCTCTTTGCTCCTAAATCAAATAGTCACCCAGCGATGATAGCAAAACAAACGAACAAACAAAATGCTTGTGTCGTTGCAGGAAACCCTGAAACAGACACAGATTCCGGCTGCAGCAGATACACCCTCAAGGCCGACGGGAGACAGTGTCCAAGCAGCCTGGGTGGCATGAGGGTCACCTATGTGTGTGAGTTCATCAGCGAGCACGGAGCCAGAGGCAGTAAGAGCATAGAAGTGACGTTCACCTCTGTGGGTAAGGACTCCTTCACTGGGATCTTTGGCTTTGCCCCTCAAGCCAAGGGCCATGAATCCCCTGGGTTCATGAGTAGCAATCAAGCAGGGCCTCCCCTGGTAGTGGGGGTGTGTTCGGGGTAAATCACTAACGGGAGACAGAAGAGGATTTCCCTGTCTACCATTTAAGTGCAGATGAAGTCATGTTTCCACTCTTACGTGAAACTTGGCGAAACTTAACAAAGACCATGGGGGAAGGGAAGGGAAGGGGAAAACACAGTTTCAAACAGAGAGGGAGGGAGGCAAACCATAAGAGATTCTTAAATACAGAGAACAAACTGAGGGTTGATGGGGGGGGGGCGGGTATGGGGAGAAGGGAAAATGGGTGATGGGCGTTGGGGAGGGCACCTTGTTGGGATGAGCACTGGGTGTCGTATGTAAGCGATGAGTCATGGGAATCTCCTCCCGAAACCAAGAGCACACTGTATACACCGTATGTTAGCTAACTTGACAATAAGTTATATTTAAAAAAAATAAAAACTAAATTCAGATGGAGTCTTTAAAAGAAAGGAGCATGGGGCTGTGAAGACACGGCTGCAGGGAAGGCCAAGGCCTGCATCGTGCTGATAAAGCAGAGTGTGAACTGGGAAATACAGTTTCAGGCGTGGATTAGTTCTGTTTAATCCCTGAATTTCTAATGAGGGTAGCGCCCCTAATTTTCCCCTTTCCCCCCATAATCCTATCCTCCCTCCCTTCCAGTAGCCTGGCTCACTGCCTACCACCCTTCGCCTGCTCTGGCACCCTTCTCTCCCACTCCACCTGTTCTAGAGAGGATGCTGCAGAAAGCTTTAAAAATCTGATACTTTGTGGTTATTTTACAGTCGTCTCGAGTCGCCTTTTGACTGAGTTAGGCCTCTTAAAAGTGTCATTTCTTCTCCCCATACAATAAAACATGATAACTTCACCCCTATCTGCAAAAAAAGGGGCGGTCAAACTTGTTTTTCCACCCATCTCACAAAAACAAAAAAAACACACACACAAAAAAACCCCCAAAAACTACTTAGGTCAATCATCAGACCCCTTTGAACAATTTGGAGAAAGGTTCATATGAACAATACTTATTAGTCTCATTCACATTTTCTGCTCTTATGACTTAGCATTTTTACAAAGATCAAGACTATGTTTATCTGAAAACATTATTGCCATGGATGAGTTCGGGGGTCTTTTGAGCAATGATTTGCAATTGTCTATAGTGGGAGCAGTTATACACTTCCAGTTCTGACTCTGAGTTGTATTGATTATGTGCGGTTCAGGCTGTCTTAGAAACGTATTTAGACTTCACGGAAAACCACTGGTCCGGTAGTTTGGAGCTCACCTGAGAATCAAGAGGAACAGATTCATGGTTCCGTGGATCCATGGTTCCTACCTTTCCATTCTCAGAAACCGCCAAACTGTAGAAAGGCATCTCTACCCGAGATCCCTACAGCCAATCAGGGCAGGGGGAGGGACACAGCAATCCATGCTTATGGAACTGAGGGACTGTATCTGAACGTTGGGATCCCAGCTTCTAAAGGGCACAATGGGGAGTCCTGGTTTCTTTTGATTTTGACCAAGAGTAAGATTTTACACTGATTGAAAAAGCAAGCTGGCATCAGTGGGCTCAAGGCATGAAACCGTTCGCTTATAGAAGATCAAAGTGAATGGCATTTTGAAATGTCAATGACACGCTCAAAGAGGAATGGAAAGAGAGAAGCAGGGGCAAACACAGTGGAATGTTCATGTAAGCTCTTACATTTGTTAAGGGTCCGGTTAACGTTTTTGTTGAAGAATTCCTCATGAACACATGGGTTAAGTCAACACCCCTAAGTTTGCAACCTTTTGCCCTGCTGATCATCAGGAAATAATTCCAGCCACAATGGGAAAGTGCACGAGCTCCTAAGGCATGTGATGGAAATGAGTACAGTTCAGAGCACCACCGGGAACAGCCTAGAAACCAGTAAAGCCCAGGAACGGCAAGGTACCAGTCCCGCATTGACACAAGTAGAGTGAGGACGGCCCACACTTTCTGTCTCTGTCTGAAATTTCACTCGCGTGTCAATGTCACCAGCAAGACTAAACATTGTGCCTGTTGTTGGTTTTTCTTTTGTCTGTTTTGTTTGCATTCTTTCAGCCAACCTAACAATAACCCGGGACCCAATTTCTGTTTCTGAGGGGCAAAACTTTTCCATAAAGTGCATCAGCGATGTGAGTAACTATGATGAGGTATACTGGAACACTTCTGCTGGAATTAAAATATACCCAAAGTTTTATACCACGAAGAGGTATGCTGATGGAGCAGAGTCAGTACTCACAGTGAACACCGTGACCCGGGAGTGGAATGGTGAGTGAAAGACCCCGGACCCCACTCTGCTGCCGGGACCCCCGGAAACACCCTATGAGAGGCCCCTGGAGGGCCTATGTCATCACATTTTCATGCAAGAGCCCTTTAGGGGAAGATGTCACTATCTCCATTTTACAGATGTGGAAACTGAGGCTCAGAGAGATTAACAAATACACCTAGGCTTCTACATCTTAAGTTGCAGAGACAGTATTGGAACTCGTCTCCAATTCAAGAGCCTGTGCTCTTGCCATGAAGTTAAGAGGACTGCTTTTAAAAGTAGTTTCACCAGACTTTTAGAGTTTTTCACCCAATCGTGATGTAAAAAAAAAAAAAAATCTAGGTAAAGGATTTATATGCCTGGTTCCAAAGAAAGGAGCGTTTTTATTTCCTATTTATCGCTACACATTATTCATGTTGGAAAGAAATGCAAATATTTGGAGGGGAAAAAAGAGAATTTGATAGAATGGTTGTAATAATAGCTGACATTTAATGAGTCCTTAGTATGTGATAGGCACAGTGCTAAGTATTTAAGTGGGTTAGTTCAATTAAAACAATAAACCTAGAAGATAGTGGTATTAGTGTCCCCACTTTAAAAATGAAGGAACTGAGGCCCAGTGAGTATAAGTAAAATACCCAAGGTTAGGGGCGCCTGGGTGGCGCAGTCAGTTAAGCGTCCGACTTCAGCCAGGTCACGATCTCGCGGTCCGTGAGTTCGAGCCCCGCATCGGGCTCTGGGCTGATGGCTCAGAGCCTGGAGCCTGTTTCCGATTCTGTGTCTCCCTCTCTCTCTGCCCCTCCCCCGTTCATGCTCTGTCTCTCTCTGTCCCAAAAATAAATAAACATTGAAAAAAAAAAATTAAAAAAAAAATACCCAAGGTTATACCTCTGATAAATGGGCAGATCCAGGGTGAAACTGAGACTGACTGGCTCCAGTGGCCAACTCTTGATTGACCGCTCTACTCTGAAGCCTTTCCTTAACCATAAAGTTAATCAGTCCAGGTCCTCTAAGTCCCAGGTCATCTCTATTTGTCCATAGAAGGCCTGGGCAACATCGTAGAAAGAGCTAGTCATTGTTTGGCTGGCCTTGGTAGAATACAGTCAGGAAATGGGAGTATTTTTCTCTCACGCTGGACTTACGTCTACTCTGTCCAACTGCTTGTTCCTACTGAGAAGCCGTAACTGAGAAGAAGCTATAGCTTTTCCAGTCACATAAACTATTTAGCAGTCCTATACCCGGGTAATAAAAAAAAAAAAAAAAAAAAAAAAAAAAATCTATTGTCGTCTGAACTGACTACACTTTTATTTTATGTTGAGTTTAAGCTTCCCTTCCTCCCAACAGAAATTGAAAGGGCTTTGTTCTCGGTCTTTGTTCTAGCTGTGTTTCCTCTGGCTAGTTGCTGCTCTGGCCACCCCAGAGTTGGGGCAAAGAGAGGGAATGTAAAGAAAATCAAAGGGTCTCGCTGAGCTATAGGTACTGTTATAATCTTCCTGCACTGTCTTCACGGCACCTGTTCAGGTGGTGGTTCATCCTCTGATGGGCTCTGCCATAAAGTCCACTGGGAAAAGATCCTCTCCAGAAGCTCAACCCAAGTACTGTGCACAATCTATTCTGCCTCACCAAGCACAGGGTCACAGGCTACTCCCGCTGTAGCCTTCCTTCTGTACTCTGGCAAAGCCAGCCAGCCTCTCATCGTTAGACTTTTCTAGATAGGAGTCGGGCATCATACATCTAACTCCAGAGCCCACAGATGAAGCTCTCTCAAGAATTTTAGCCTACCCCTGCCCCTTCCACACTCTTTAGTGGTGTCATGGTGCCCTGGAACCTGAGGAAACCACTCACTCAGAGATGGGGAGAGGAGACATCACAACACCTCAGTGCTCCATCTGGCTGACAACTCCCCTCCAAGAACACCCCATCTCAGCACACACCAAAACTCCCATCTTTCCCCCTGGGTTAATAAAAGAACTTTGGGAGTAGGTATTGGGAAAGAACCTGGCTTCAAACGCAATTCCACAGCCAACAGGCTGTATAACTTTGGATAAGCCACTTAATTTTATTTGGAGTTTTATGTAGGCTATTGGTTGGTCCTTCAAATACATAGAGAACCCAGGAGGAGAGGTGATCAAACATTCCCTTGTCCAATGTCCAGAGGAAGGTATGATGTGCCCTTGCCCGTGCTTGACAGGGAAATTTAATCCTCTTCTTAACCTTCCCAGCAAACGCTATTTTGGAACAGTGACTACACTCCATCTCATTTTTGTTTCCTTCTACTCAGGAACCTATCATTGCATATTTAGATATAAGAATTCATACAGTGTCGCTACAAAAGATGTGACTGTTTACCCGCTGCCTCTGGAGCCAAACATCATGGTTGATCCCTTGGAAGCTACAATTCCGTGTAAAGGTTCCCATCGCTTCAAGTGTTGCATTGAGGAGAATGAAGACTACAAAGTCACTTTCCAAATGGACTCCCTATCCTTTCTTGCAGGTAAGACAGTAATTGCTGCATTGTGAGGCACACCTCCTTCATGTGGAGTCTAAACATCTCATCTTAAAAGAGAGGTAAAGAGGGGCGCCTGGGTGGCGCAGTCGGTTAAGCGTCCGACTTCAGCCAGGTCACGATCTCGCGGTCCGTGAGTTCGAGCCCCGCGTCAGGCTCTGGGTTGATGGCTCGGAGCCTGGAGCCTGTTTCCGATTCTGTGTCTCCCTCTTTCTCTGCCCCTCCCCCGTTCATGCTCTGACTCTCTCTGTCCCAAAAATAAATAAAAAACGTTGAAAAAAAAATTAAAAAAAAAAAAAAAAGAGAGGTAAAGAGATATGAAGACTGCATCAGAGACAGAACATAACAGAGAGAACCCCACGAAACTTTAATACCTTCTGTTTTGCTGTGTGACCCATGGCTTGTTGGTTTGTGGCAAAATCTTGAGGGTCTGTGAGGGTGAAGGAAGCCCATTGGTTTTACTGGGAGCTGTCGAGGACAGTGCTAGAATACTTTCACAGGCCTTCTACTTCCTCAGTACATCAGACTAGAAATTCTGGTAGTCCCTCCCTCCACACTATGAATCAGCATGCTTCAAAAGTACCTCAAAAATCCTTTTAACTATGCACAGTTGAGCATTCAAGAAAGTAAGAGGCCAAGAGCATAAAGAAAAAAAAATAGAAATGTTTTAGTACTGCTGGGCCTTCTCTGAAGGCATCTGCCAGTGTCAGAAACACAGCACCTTGGGTTTTAAGGCTCTGAAGGACATTCCAGAAAAGGCCTTACTCTCTAGGCAGTGACTTAAGGCACCCTACATCACCAGCACAAAGTCAGAACCCTCAAAGGGTGAGATGCTCACTCAGTAAGAGGATAAGCAGAAAAACAAAATTTGTCTGCCAGAGTTAAGAGCTTAGCCTCATTTCTGGGTGGGCAAAAATTTCCCCTAAGAATTATAACTGTCTTGCTCCCACTCAGGTTTGGGGTTTGAATTTATACTACCTATGGGGTCCAGGAACTCCACACTGAAGAGTGACTAATTTAAAGTGGCCTACTGGTAGCACCCAATGGTACCTGCCAAAAAAATTCAAATCCTCTAAGGTAGGATGTACCCTCAATCCATGGACCTCAGGATTCCTACAGATTAAGGTCAACCAAATATGAGCTCACAACCCCAAATCTCAAAACACAGACACCTTCTTGAAGGATTTACAAGCTCATTCATTCATTCGTTAAACAACTATTCATAGAGACATGCCCAATGCAAAACACTATAGTAGTCAATTAAAAGAAGACAAAAGAAGGTGGGGCACATATATTAATATCTAGCTGAAAGTGTTCATGTCAAAAAAGACAATGGGTATAGCAATACATTTCTAAAATGAGCAACTCAGATCAAAAGAACACTGGAAGTTCAGAAAAGCAGGACCCAATTAAGATGAGAATTTAGAGAAGGTTGTATGGTAGGAGGGTCTAGAATCAATCTGGATACTGAAGTATTTAATCATTTCAACATTCTATGTTTAACATGCGTGCATTCAAGGCTCTCTGTGTGCCAAATACTCAGCTAGGCATTGGGAGATGCAATGATAAGTAAGACCAGATACCTTCTCTCCAAGACTTTATGGTCTAATGGAGGAGACAGGTCCATAAAGAGGTGACTCTAAACCAATGTGGTGAAGGCAAGACAGAATAAATGCACAGGACATGCTGGGATTTGGACAGGCAGAAGGAGGAGAGAGAAGCTGAAAGGCATTCTGATTGTCCAAACTGTACGGGCACAGATTTGGAGTCATGAATGGTAGAGGTAAAGGTGAGGTGAGCACAGTGTAAATGTGGGCTGACTTACTTCTACGCTAGGGCCATTTTTAAACCCATATCAAAAAATGAATGTGGCACATTCCTTGGAAAATCTAGACACACATATCCATATTGGATTATCTGAAAAAAAAAATGTGTGCTTTGGAGACTCATCTTGTGACTTAATTCTTTCTATAATTCTATCTCAGAAAAAGAAGTTAATGGAAAGCAAGTGTGCTACAAATATAATTTCATGGCAAGCTCAGTTTCCTGGTGTCCAAAAAAGCTCAACATATTTTGTCACTTTACCAATGCTGCTAATAATTCAGTCCAGAGCCCCTCTATGAAGCTTAACCTGGTTCCTGGTAAGAGCATTTTAAATTATTTTAAAATATTATAGTCATGAGCAAAGTATTCATTTAGTCATCCATTCCTTTGTTCATCCATTCAATAAATATGCATTAAGCACCTTCATGGGGCAGGCCTTGGGCTAAGGGTGGGGGATTTGAAAAGAGCTAAGCCATGTTGACTGGCCTCAGGCATAGGGAAAAGATGGATGTGATAAAAAATGTTACTACATCTAATGCAGTAAGGGCTGAACTCGAGATGCTGTGGGCAGTCCAAAGAGGCTTCCAGGTTTAGCTCTCCTAGTGATGGTAGGGAGCAAACAATCAAGAAAACCTTGTGGACGAAGCCCTATTTCAGTGGAGTCTGGGAGGCTAAGCACTGTACTGGGAAGTGCACAGTATCTTTGAACTTTCAGCAAAGGAAAAGTGTCCCTACTAGACAGGGCTACATGAAAAGAATCAATCTAAAAAATAGGCAACTATCTTTGTCATCCTTTGTCATCACTGGGCCAATATCATCCCACATATTTTCAAGGTTGAAGGTCATGGTTTGTGGCCATTTCTGTAATGGCCCATGACCAAGAGCTCTCCTCAGGAGCAGCAGAGAGGCAAGTGAATAAAGGATGGTCCTGGGCTTCTGCAAGAAGCAATCCCCTCCCCCCGAACCCTTCTCTGTAATAGCACCTCTGATATCCAAGGGATTCATAGCTCTATCACGAATCATGTTTGGGTTTACTTCGTGATTTGTGGTCATTTTCACGTGTATTGGTGACTGAGCCCTGGACATCAAAGTAGGAATTTAGAATTCCCCATCTCTCTGAGTCACTGTCCCCTGACCCTACTAAGCACACCTCTTCTTGGGGGGGGCAACCAAGGCCACTTCTTCACTGTCCCCCATGCCGCATCTTCACCCAGGCGTTGACATGTTTTATTGACTTATCCTTGTTCTTCTCCTCTTTCCTCATCCCAGGTGTGATTCCACTTCCTTTTCCTAGTAGAAACTACTTAGTATTTCAAGACTTTATACAATGACTGAGAACTTAATGCTAAATTTGTAAGTTCGTGAGAAAGGGATCTGCTCGTCAGAGAATCAAGGTCCCCTGGAGACTAGAGGTTCTTCAACAAATGTCACTTTCCCATGCAAGTCTGGTCTTGAGTAGACGTGAAATGGAGTCACCACTAAGGGAAGCCAGAAGGAACAAATGTTTACAAATATTGCTCAGAATATTCAGGTCATGGGTGCCTGGAATTCTGACCATTAATTACATATTTGAATGAAGGCAGTGCCTCCCAACCTTGACTGCACACCGGAATCACCGGGGAAAGTTAAAAAACTGCCAGTGTCTAAATCGCAGCCCAAGAGTTTCCTATATTTGAGCAGGAGTGAGACTGGACATTGGTATTTTCCAAGATCCCCAGGTGATTCTAATCTGCCAAAGTTGAGAATCCCTTGGATTAGGCATTATGTTCCTGAAGATTCCTAGTAACTTGATTATCTCTTATCTAGATGAGCACACATTAAGCTCTCATTTTTCCGTGCTTTAGATTTTACAGGCAGTGGAGAGAAGATTCCTGAGGACTGGAGATGGTGATGAGGCATAGAGGAAATTAGTTCTGTTAGGAAAAGTAAGCGCAGGTTAAAGTCGGATTTGTGTTGAAAGCACAGAGAGGGGTTTTGAAAAGCCAGGTGCAAAATAAAAAAAGTGGGTAACTCTGAAAAGGTCATTGAAAGCAAAGAAAAAAATGAATTCAAACGTCAATATTCTACCTAGGCCTGACCCTATTTCGACTACCTTTTCTCCTCCTTTTCAAACAGTCCCTTTTATTTCCATGTTCCTAATGCAGGAGAGAACATCATGTGCCAAGATCCCATAATAGGTGTTGGGGAGCCTGGGAAAGTCATCCAGAAACTGTGCCAGTTCTCAAGTGTTCCCAGCAGCCCTGGAAGTCCCACTGGTGGGATCATAACGTACAAATGTGTAGGCTCCCAGTGGAAGGTGAAGAAGAATGACTGCATCTCTGCCCCAATAAATAGTCTTCTCCAGCTGGCCAAGGTGATCCTTAAATATTTGACTCCGAGCTCTTGTGGGGGAGATATTTCTAGCTTATCTCATTTCTCAGCAAATGGGCCTTGGGCTGGTTTGTGTTGCTCCCAAAGCGACTTTTACTTGTTTATTTCCAAAGAAGATGCAAACCTAGAAATGCTTTACATTTTTCTTACATACAAATATGGAGACAACAAAATATGCATTCTGCCCTAGGACCAGCTGTACACCTTTTTACCTTGACTTCTCAGTGACTTGTTTCTATTACCTTGAAGGTGCAGGTAGAATTATCCTCTCTTATCGATCCCCTTTGAATAATCTTGATATCAAGCAAGTAGCTCTAATCTTTTCAGAAAAAGGAGAAACTTAAAAAATAAGGTTCATTGGTGCAAAAAATATATATGCTTGGGCATTATGTTTTTACAGGTCTGAGATTTCCTCAATCTTAGAGGTAACCCGTTAGTAATGGGAGATGTAACTAGCCTGCCTCTCTTAACTAGAAGAGAGGTTACTGCCATACGGTAGGGAAAAATTTCTTTTCATCAAAATAAATGTGACCTCATACTGAAGTTGCTTAGAGTAGAGACTCCTAAAATGCAAATCCTAATGAATTACAATAAGTCAACCTTGATGAGGCAACTAGTAGAGTTATACTTAGTGGTTATAATTAATGATATCATTAACCAAGTGGTTCCAAATGCTCTCACCATTGGAAGACGAATTAAGGAAAAGGGGTAATATTGACTTGTGTCTCCTCTGATCATCTTCTGTCTCTTTTCTTGTTTGACACTAAATTCATTAAAATACCTACTAGGTGCAAAGCATTATTGTAGGTGCTATAAGGGTAAAGAGACCAAATCAGAACTTGGTCTCTGATTTTCTAGAGAACATAATCCAGTTGAGTAGTTACATACACACTAATTTTGCTTAGGATAATCGGGAAAGGTCTGCTTGAAAAACTTGGCATCTGATTTGGGCCTTGATGAAGGATACATCAGTGATATAAATTTTCCTAATCAAGAAAGATAGAAATATTATAAATTGAACTCCCTGTTGGGCCCTGGTCCCAATTCTAGATACCTAGATACATTTTCAATGGAAAAGGGGCATGTTGGTCTATCATGCTTTATTTGATTTATCCATTCCATATATATTTATGGAATACCTACTATGCGCCAACCTATATGGCTTATGCTATGTGAGGCATTATAGGATATCAGAAGGAATATAACACATTTCATAATATTAAGGAGCTTATAATTTAATTGGAGAGATATTGAAATTAAAACACAAGATGACATTGTCACAAACAGAAATGTCACAAGTGTGAAGTATGTAAAATAACAAACACTTATGCATTCAGAGGAAGAAACTCCCTTACGTTGGAATACTCATCAAAGTTCTTTATGGAGGAGGTAGAATTTGAAATCTTTAATTATAAGTAGTTTAATTAATTGTGTCATTATAATATAGGTAGTTAGCTAATTAGAAAACAGAAGTGTGATCATTATAGATAGGGTGACCATATAATTTATCATCCAAACCAGGATGCATTTTGAAAACAAAAGAGGGCACTAGTAATCATTACACCGGGACAGCAGATATAAAACAGAACTGTCCCAGGAAAATTGGGATGGACAGTCACCCCTCCAATGGCCAGCAAGGTAAGCGATGAGAAAAAGCGGAGTGGAACGTGGCTTCCATACAGACCACCAAGTGACGATACTCAATTTTAATCTAGTTGTCTAGCAATCACATCTACTCTCCTTTTTAAAAAAAAAAAAAAACTAGTCATCAGGTTAACATGTGCTTTACTGTTCCCTTTCTATGTGTGAGGACTTTACGTAATATTCTAGTCTGAATGGCACACAGATTAAATTAAGAGATAAGTTGGGGCGCCTGGGTGGCGCAGTCGGTTAAGCGTCCGACTTCAGCCAGGTCACGATCTCGCGGTCCGTGAGTTCGAGCCCCGCGTCGGGCTCTGGGCTGATGGCTCGGAGCCTGGAGCCTGTTTCCGATTCTGTGTCTCCCTCTCTCTCTGCCCCTCCTCCGTTCATGCTCTGTTTCTCTCTGTCCCCCAAAAATAAATAAACGTTGAAAAAAAAATTTAAAAATCTTAAAAAAAAAAAAAAGAGATAAGTAAATTACCTTATAAGATGTACTTCTAGGAATGGAGAAAAGGAAACCACGGATGTAAGAGATTTTCATCATGGATGATAGATCAGCAGGATTTGATGACCAGACCAACCGGCAAGTTTTCCCTTTGTCTGTGTTGGCTTTTGTTTTACTAGGCTTTGATCAAGAGCCCCTATCAGGATGCGAAACTCCCGACGTACCTAAAGGATCTTTCTGTTAGCACAGGCAAGGTGAAACACGAAGTCAGCTCATTTCCTGGGAGCCTGGGAGCCATCATTAACATCCTTGATTTGCTCTCAACGGTTCCAACCCAAGTGAATTCAGAAATGATGACGGTGAGTTTGTTTGGGGCCTTACAGGAGCTTTGAGTCTCATCTTTTCACCCCCTGGGACGTGTAGTCAAGAAACATAACTACCCCTCCCCCACTGCAGCCCCTTCTTTGTCTTCTCCGGAGAAATTCACTGGATATTAGGGTCAGGTAGCATGCTCTGCCAGCCGTGGCTGTTAGGGTCACAAGGAGTGTTTCTAGTATTCATTTGGGGCACTTAAGAAGATTTCTTTAGTGAATCCCCATCTTAGTTTCTTCATGAAAATAGAACGAATCCGTATCTGCTTCCTGAGAAAACCAGCCATTAAAGGTTTTCAGACTATGTACAAAGTGGGCGTCTCAGCGGTCTAGCACTGAACATGAACTTTGAAGCAGTCAAGGTTCCGAGAGGAAGGAAAATTCACCCAGGATTCAAGTGAAGAGTTCAAATGAAGAGGCTTTAATGAAAAAAAAAAAATACTTAAAGAGGTAAAACCGGGGATACAAAAAGAATGGAAGACAGTACTACCCTGAGGACTAAAGGGGAAAGGAGGAGAAAGAGCGTAGCTACAGCAGAGGGAAAACTAAGCCTTAGAGGAGGGATCACGAGCGGTAGCAACAGAACCAGCACCACAGATGCGTTGAGGACAGCATGTGTGTAGGGGCGAGGGCGTGGCTGCGGTGGGTAGTGGGAAAATATATTTCCACCTCTTTCTTCTCCCACCATCCCATCTCCTGCCAGTGCTCCGTGATGTGCAACCCCAGCCAGAGGCATCTGGAAAGCAGCTTGGGTAACAAGGGTCCAAGGAGGTTATGTGGACCTCCTGGGGCTACAAGGAGCCCCAGGAGTTGCCAAAAACTGGGTGGCTCACCATGAACAGGAACTTATTCTCTCACAGATCTCAAAGCTAGCAGTCCGAAATCAAGTTGTCTGCCAGACCGCGTTCTTTCTGAAGTCTCCAGTGGGGAGTCTTTCCCTGCCTCCTCCAGCTCCGAGTAGTTCCAGCATTCTTTGGCTTGCAGCTGCCTCATTACACCCTCCGAGTTTGTCTTCACATGGCCTTCTCCTCTTCCCCATTTGTCTTCTCCTCTTCTGTCTCTCAAAAGGATACTTGACATTGGAGTTAGGGCCCACCTAGCTACTCTGGGATGATTTCCTCTCAAGATCCTTAATTGCATCTGCAAAGACCCTTCCCCCAAAGAAAGTCACATTCACAGGGTCTGGGTATTGGGACAGATTATTCGGGCGGCCACCATTCGACGAACTACAAGGCTCATAGTTTCAGATTGAACAGAACGAGGCAAAGAAGGGCAAAGAAATTATATTGAGAGAAAGCACAAATGGAAAATGACAAGCCCGAGTTCATAGGAGAGAAAATCAAAATGTTCAGGAAAAAAAAAAAAAAAAGAATGATTCCTTTGCCAACAATTTGGTGCTCAGCATTGGAGAGGGCTTTTTGAAACTACTTTGCCCTTGCTGGTAAACTATCACCCTTTACAGGCTTGGGATTTAAAGGAAAATAAAACCACTAATAAATCTCTCCCAGCCTGCTAAATTGGTCTCAGTGGGTGTGTGTTGGGGCTGACTCTTGGTAAATATTTAACAAAGTCGCATAGCTTTGGGGACATATCCTCTGCTAACTCCCTGCCGTAAGAAGGTGGGACACAGGTCCCTACAGCCTGCGAGGCCTCATTTTTCTCTTCTCTTTTCCTCTTACCTGTACCCATGCAACCAGTTTCCAGGGAGATGTTCTTTTTTCTCCCTTTTATGATTGAAAGAATTTGATTGGTCTGACCCCATGCCATGTCAATTACAGCACGTTCTGTCTACGGTTAACACCATTCTCAGCAAACCCGTCTTGAGTACATGGAAGGTGGTACAACAGCAACAGACCAACCAGAGCTCACAGCTACTGGATTCAGTGGAAAGATTTTCCCGAGCATTACGGCCAGAAGATAGCACTGTTTTGTCCATCAACCAAACTAATGTGCAGATGAGGAGCATGGTGATAAAACCTGGCCATCCAAAAGCCTACAAACAGAGCTTTGTTTTCTCAGACTCAGACCTGTGGGGTAATGTGGCCATTGAAAACTGCCAGCTGGGAAACCTGCAGCGAGATTCATCTATTGTCACTGTGGCTTTTCCAACTCTCAAAACCATCCTCGCCCAAGATGTTCCAGGAAAGAATTTTGCCAACAGCTTAGTGATGACAACCACCGTCAGCCACAATATAACCTTGCCATTCAGTATCTCAATGACTTTTAAGAACATCAACCCTTCAGGTGCGGTACCGCGATGTGTCTTCTGGAATTTCGACCTCGCCAACCACACAGGGGGGTGGGACAGCAGTGGGTGTTACGTGAACAAAGTCGATGAGGACAGCGTCTCCTGCGTCTGTGACCACCTAACGTCGTTCTCCATCCTCATGTCCCCTGACTCTCCGTACCCTGGTTCTCTCTTGGAAATACTACTGGACATCATTTCCTACATTGGGTTGTGCTTTTCCATCTTGAGCTTGGCAGCCTGTCTGGTCGTGGAAGCCGTGGTGTGGAAATCAGTGACCAAGAACCGGACTTCCTATATGCGCCACATCTGCATAGTGAACATCGCCGCCTCCCTTCTGGTGGCTGACAGCTGGTTCATTGTAGCCGCTGCCATTCATAACCATTATCACCCACTCAACAAGACAGCCTGTGTGGCCGCCACCTTCTTTATCCATTTCTTCTACCTCAGTGTCTTTTTCTGGATGCTGACTCTGGGCCTCATGCTCTTTTACCGCCTGGTTTTCATCCTGCATGACGCAAGCAAGTCCATTCAGAAGACTATTGCCTTTTCTCTTGGCTATGGCTGCCCTCTGGTCATCTCGGTCATCACAGTGGGGGCCACCCAGCCCCAAGAAGTCTACACGAGGAAGAATGCCTGCTGGCTCAACTGGGAGGATACCAAGGCCCTGCTGGCCTTCGTCATCCCAGCACTGATCATCGTGGTGGTGAACATGACCATCATGATTGTGGTCATCTCCAAGATCCTGAGACCTTCCATCGGGGACAAGCCAAGCAAGCAGGAGAAGAGTAGTCTGTTTCAGATCAGCAAGAGCATTGGGGTCCTCACGCCGCTCTTGGGGCTCACCTGGGGATTTGGTCTTGCCACTGTGTTCCAAGGAAGCAATGCTGTGTTCCATATCATATTCACTCTCCTCAATGCCTTTCAGGTAAGTTCCACTCTACAGGGCTCTCAGGAAGTATCTGTACTGGTGGGACAAATTAATGATAGCAACACAAACAAGGGTAGGAATGGGGAAGGATTTTAGTTCAGAGCCCTAAAGAGAAGTAATTACAAGCACTCGGTGATATAGAATGGACACATTCCTCAGCTCCCATGGAACCTCATACCTCTTATCACTGGTATTATAACTTAGTTGCATGCATGACTCTCTTTGAAAAGCCCTGATAATACACGTAAGAGGAAAGTCCCTTCCCTACACAGGATTTTGCTATTTATCCAACATTATCAGGATGCCACCTATTATCTCCTAATTGAAAATACCACTATAAAACCAAGTAATCTCTCCAGTTAAATTTCTACAAGCATTAAATGAACTCTATCTTTGTGGGGTCAGGGATAACATCTATCTCACTTATCGCTGTATCCCTAGTAGTACCTAAAAAAGAACTTGACCCAGAGTAGGTGCTCGATAACCATCTGCTAAATAAAATGAGTACTATGTACCACATAGTAAGTTCCCTAGAAACATTTGCTGAAGAAGGAAGAATGAATGTCTTATGTAAGGTAGACATTCTGCTGTATTATACTAAAATGAAAAAGACACACTCTTGGGGTGCCTGGGTGGCTCAGTCGGTTAGACGTCCAACTCTTGGTTTCAGCTCAGGTCACGATCTCACAGTTTCGTAAGTTTGAGCCCCACATTGAGAGCAGAGCCCGCTTGGGATTCTCTGTCTCCCTCTCTCTCTGCCCCTCCCCCCACTCGTGCTGTCTCTGTCTCTCCCAAAATAAATAAATAAACTTTAAAAAAAAAAAAAGACACACTCTTTGCTCTCCCATAGCACATAGCACATAGCACATAAATAACTATAAAATAAGTCCAATTGTTAGAAGAACTTTAGCAGAGGTACAGACAACAAGCGTTTGGAGCACAGGGAAGGGAATGCTTAATTCTGATTCAACCAGTAGGTGGGTGGTAAGCATAGGTCCTCACGAGCTGGTGAGGGGGCAGTGGGTCTGGAGGTGAAGTCGAGACATTGCCCCGATGCTCATGCCAGATCCTAACTTCTGCTAGGCCCGTGGCCTCAAACTATGTGGCTCATATCTAATGAAGTTTATAGTATGGCTTGACTACAAGGGACTGGTAATGTCACCCCAGGCCCCAGGTCCTCATCACAATTATGTGAACCCTACGGAGACGTAAGAGATGTACTTAACAGCATAGCCAATAGGACCTCCAGTTCACAAAGGGGCGGGGATAAGGAAATAGAATGATATCCTTATAACATTATAACATTTAAGGTCTCTTGGTGTGGACCTACTGAATCCCTTTGAACATTATTATCTACCAGACCCATTCCACAAACACAGAAGTGGGAAGACGTAGTACGAATTCATTGCCGGGGTAACAATACTTCCTATGTTGCCAGACAATAGAACATGATTAAAATCGTACTGAATTATAATCATAATTTTAAACCATAAAATCATAAGATTAAAATGTACTTCCTGCCAATTCTTTTTTCAGGGGCTATTCATTTTACTCTTTGGGTGCCTCTGGGATCAGAAGGTAAGAACAATCACAGTTTCGTGCTCCCAGAAAAGCCCAGCGTTCGTGGCATGTTGAACTTACGAGGGCTTCCTTTAAACAACTGCAGGTGCAGGAAGCCTTGCTGAAGAAGTTTTCACTGTCAAGATGGTCTTCACAGCACTCAAAGGCAAGTCCTTCCTTTGCAGGGACTTTGGCAAACCCTTCCCTCTCCCCAGCCTGATTCACCATAGATCATTCGACTGCTTGTGCGTCTCACCTGATTCTGCCTATTAAAGTCAGCCACGGAGCTTTCACTAAGATGCTGTCCCACATCTTTAAGTAGGGATCAGGTAGCACAGACAATACCAGCTGGAGGTCAAAAATCCAAGTTCAGTGAGAAACAAGAAGTTTTCTGGGGACATTGAAGACAACAGAGAACAGAATGTGAGGAATAATGCAGAGATTGTTGGTAGTTCTGTTTGGAAAAGAACAATTGCTCTCAGAGTTGACTGTTTTCACACATCAGAAAACACTAAACCCTATAGAACAGTAAAACATATATTTGAAAGTTATTTTCCTAATTCTGGTGAGAGTCCGATGTTTCAAGGTGGCCCTCCTACTTGATTTGTTTGAACTTGAAATTCATGCTCTTTCAGGCTCACTTTCAAGCGGAATGAGAGATGCAGGCAGTGACCACTAGAGGGCAGCAAACAAACCATCAGAGAGATCAAAAGAGGGCTTTGGTGGAGCACCTGGGTGGCCCAGTCAGTTGAGCGTCAGGCTTTGGCTCAAGTCATGATCTCACAGTTTGTGAGTTCGAGCCGCGTGTCCGGCTCCGTGCTGACAGCGCGGAGCCTGGAGCCTGCTTCCGAGTCTGTGCCTCCCTCACTCTCCCCAACTCATGTTCTGCCTCTTTCTCTCTCAGGAATAAATAAACGTTAAAAAAAAAAACATTAAAAAAAAGAGGAATCAAAACAGGGCTTTGGTTTAACATTTGCTTGCTAATTGTCTTTTTTTCTTTTCCAGTCAACATCCCTCGGTTCATCTACACCAGTATTTTCTATGAGTTCTCCGATATCAAGAAGATTTAACAATTTGTTTGGTAAAACAGGTACGTAGTGACCTCTAGCTCACTCCCTGGGGTACTTAGTTTGGGTTGACTTGAGCAAATTTGCCCTGATGCAGACTCTCACACCCCTACTTTCCCACTTCGTGGCGTTTACCATGAACAGCCTCATTTGGGTCAGAGGTTAAATACAGGAACTCGCTTCTATTTCCCAAACCACCAGCAGGTTGTAGAGAGAGCAACTGCCTTCAGCGGGCAACTGATAATAACTTGAAAAGGATAAGATTTGGAGAATCTAGACAAGCCTGTGGAGAGCTGTCAAAACTGTATCCACCACAAAAGTGGGAACTGTAAATTGCTAGCCTTGTCAAATGCGGAGTTCATTGCTATTCGCGTTAAATAAGAATAGGCAGGTCATGTTTATGGGTTAAGGTACGGCAAAAAAATATATTTAGAAAACTACTACAGGATCACATGCTGTGGATTTCTTTTCCCTTTTTTTTCTTTTTTTGGGGGGGGTGGGGGGAGTGTGCTTGTTTTACATATGGGCATGTATAAAACCGTGCATGCATAGAGGAGGAATCACCCAAGTTAGCTGTTCTGTTAGGAACATGCACAGTTAAATTGCTACCTTGGAGGTATAAAATCAATAATATGAATGACTTTAAGCAATGGGTCTCAGCTAGTCAGGCAAGTTGAAACCTCTGCCCGCTATGCCCCTACCCCCAGGAAAATAAGCACCAAAACTCCCTCCAGCTTCTTGAAACTGAACAGATCTCACAAATGCCGAATCTAGAAAAGCGTCATTATTCCAGACTAAGGCTCTTCCTATAAAATCAATTGAGAATGCCTACCATTTGTTAAAACTCCGGAGGACTTGGTGTTTTTTGCTTCGACCTGATGCGTTACTCATGAAACCGGAGGACCTTCACTTGCGATTTGGCAAGTCACCGATGGCAGCTGGTGTGAAATTATCAAATCTTCAGGGTGTAGTACAACCACTGCACTTGGCCGGCACTGTCGCTGGAACGTGTTGACCATTCCCGCTCGGGTTAAAACTCTGCGAAATGATTCTACTGAATCAGAATGACACGATATGCAAGGCCGATAAAATGTGCTCTTTGATTTTGAACCAGTCCGCTCAAAGGTGGGGTTGGGGCTCTGCTCCTGAGGTCCCAGGGCCTGAGATTTCCAGTCACTGCCATTCAATGACCCCTCGAAGGTCATTAACGCAGCGCCCTACTGGCCTACCTGAGGGTCCCGTAATCACTGTAACTTTGGTTTATGTTGTCGGCAGCCCCGCAGGGCCCCCCAGGCAGTGATGGAAACCTTGTTAGCAGTGGCAGCTCACCAGTCTGATGGTAGGGTGGGCACCGTGTCCCCTCCTTGCCCAACACCACCCTCACTCGCCCTGTGCTCAGTCCCCGCCTCCCGCTGACACCAGCCCCCGTGGTTGCTCCGTGGCTGCCCCCTCAGCTGCACTTTCATTAGCATCCCCTGACTTCTGCTTCTTTCCCAGTCCTGTCTTTCCTTCCCTTGTAATTTTCTCCTCTCGTTTCTTGTTCCCCTTCCCCCCCCCCCCAACCGCCGCCCTCACCTTTCAGCTCAGCCTCTGGCTCCCCCCACCAAGACCTTCCCACGTCACTCCAACCCCAGGGGGCCAGGGAGGTTCCCTCACACAGATGTCCCCAGGCCCGTGCATGTGGTGGCATGTGGAGGGCTGCCCAGAGTTCGTATCTCCCTGGCCTTTGTAGAAATCTGGCTGCTGGTTTGATGTGAAGCAGTTAGCGCTTGTCTCGTGGGCTGCCGCGCACGCTTGAGAACAACAGCTTTGTTCTCTGGCACTTCTGGGTCCTGGGAGGAGGGCAGGCATGGGTGTGTTTCCAGGCATGGCCGAGCTTCCCTGGCTCTCGGGCTAGAGCTCCCCCTGGGCCATTAGGAGAGGCTCACACCGCAGTGATCAGGAAGTGTTGTCCTTAAGGCCGAGCTGCTGCTCTGTTTTTCAGGCACGTACAATGTCTCCACCCCAGAAACAACCAGCTCATCCCTGGAAAATACATCCAGTGCTTACTCGTTGCTCAACTAACAACAGGAAAATCCCCCCATACGACTTCTTAAAGGACAGTGGATGCGCTCTGAAAAAAGTCCTTCCAAAGCCACGGGTGAACTGTTTTCTCCACAGGCTTCCTGGAGCGGATGCTGAAGAGACTGTTTCATTAGGGGAAGAAGCTTTCTTTCATAAGGACGGACTCAAAGTCATTGTTAAGTTTATTTGCTGCCCCACCCCCACCTCTTGTGTGATACTAAATGTGTATAGTATTTAAGTGAAACTCAAGTCCCCCGAGGCCCAATTTCCCTGTCTGTATTGTAAAATAGAATTTCAAAGAGGCATTGTTCCTTTTCACACGTTGGTCACAAAAATAAGCTTTCCTAGGTACAAGGCTAATACCTAGGAACTACTTCAGTGAATTCTAAGAAGGAAGGAAGGAAGGAAGGAAGGAAGGAAGGAAGGAAGGAAACAGGAAAAAAGAAAAAGATAGAGAAAAACATTAAAAACTACATTACTTCCATGTTAATGTAATTATTCAGACACTGCCACATGGAGAATGCAAAAATGGCTCAAAACGGAAACTGAAATAAGCCAGGGGGAAAGTCTGGTATCTTCCTGGTAATTTCTTAGCTACGAGAGAGGGACAGAGAGAGAGAGGAGAAAAAAAAAAAGGACAGTGGGAAAAGACAGGGAGGAAATTGTAACATGAAGATGCTTTCAAGTGGATAATAATATTTATAAGAAATGCATGGAAGGAGATGTAATTCTCCTGATGCTAAACACACACACAGATGCTATTAGTTTGTGCTAAGGTTTGAGCTCAGTGGACCGAGTAGGCAGAGAAAGCGTGATTGAGGCTCTTTATTAGATCCCAGCAGACCCAACGGCTAATTGCATCTTCTAAAGTTTATCGGGAAAAGCCTTACATGTTGGTTTATTCCACTTTTTTGAAGGCCAAAAATATATTTTTTTATATCCATCACTTGCCAAATGTGATATAATGTGATATAAGTGTGATATATTGCACTGAAAACAGATCCCACCTGTCATATACTGTATTTAACAGCTTTAACCAGGTACTTCTCTGGGCACAATAGAGTAGATTTTAATAATCGTATGGCACGGTTTATTGTTCCTGTTGTTGCTACCGTGGATTTCATGGCCCTTGGTGTGTTGTGTAGCTCCCTATGCATTAGCTCTTTAAGTGCTTGAGTTCCGAGACCAATATACGTTAAGAGTTTTGCATTGTCTAACTTGTGTTTATTCCGACCACTTGGCAATCTTCTGGAAAGAAATTTTACAGCTGGCTCAGTCTACGCTCCTAATGACCCTTTACCTCAATGAGCAGATGGTGGAGGTTTTCCCAAGGAGGTGACTGTTTATGAATTAGGTGCAGGTATGTGTGTTTCTCGTGCTGTGTGCATTTCATAAAAATACAACTATTATTAAAATCGCCTCCATATTAAAGTCGGCTGTAGCCACAGCAACCATACATTCCAAAGTGAAGTCTGATCGCAGAGAGAGAGCAAAACACGATAAAAACGTGAGGCTCCTCGGGAAATGTGGGCTGCGTGGTCTTCGTAAGGGCTGAGAACCAAAACAGGCCGCACCATCAGGAAGGTAGGAACCAAGAGGCTGTGACACAGAAACCGTTTATTTATTGAGTTCCGAAAGGAACTCAAGGGTTGCAAGGGTTTCTTTTTAATATTTTAACTCTTTGACATCCCTTCTTTTTATTTGTAGTTTAAAACTCTTACTTCTGCCTCTCTGTTCTTCATGGGGAGAAGGATGTGGGACAGATAGAAGTCCCAATCACGTTTCAAGTAAATGAGCTCTTCATTTCTACGTGTTCCCAAATGGTGTAGACCTCTACTCCCATGCTTGCCTGGAAATGGTCACAAAGGAAATGATTCAGCTATACAATTCTCCAGGAATGGTCACCTTTGGGCAGAGCTCAGTCCTGAGGAGACAGAGCCGGAGGCTAGGCTCCAGGATGGATGGAAGGAGAATTAGAGATCGTAATGGCTTTGCCGGAGCTGGTTCCTGTAGTAATGGCAGGGATGATGGAGGCTTGGTTATATAGTACAACATGTGAGCATGGCCATCGTGACATGATCAGCCAAGGAAAGCGTAGCACTCAGGGGGCGTTCAAAAACACAACGGGACAAGAAACATAGAACTTCCCCCCACGTCAGCAGGGATAACCTTGGGAATCATTGTGTTCATGGGGGGGATCCTCCATAATGGCAGGAACCTTTGCAGAGTTCCATAGGATGTGGCTTTGGCCCTTTGCCCACGTGCATTCACTGGAGCACGTTCCCTTACCCCCAACACACACACGTGTGTGTGCGTGCACTTTCCACCTTTCAAGCCACAGTACCAGATCCAAGTTCCAGAAAGCCTATGAAAAATTAAAAAAAAAATTAGAGCGATACTTGCTGGTTTTCTGCCCAACTGCAAGATACATAGTTCAACCGCTGCGGTTTGCCAAGATTATCCTAAAATAAACAATAGAATTCAAAATTGGGAGAGAGAGCAGCCCATGAATCTGGAAGGCCTATGGAAGCGGGAGCCCCGCCAGGCCCTGCGTTCACTAGTTTTCAGTCAGCAAGGATTGCAAGGGTTTGGCAGCAGATTTCTGAGGACGAGGGAGAAGGAATGTTGGCTCTGATGGGGCAAAGTGGGATGTGTGGTCCACTCAGCTCCCATAGTGTCTAGTGTTTCCCATGTTCCTGACCTCCCTCAGTGGGTAAAGTTCCATGGGCCAGGACTTGCTTGCATGAAGGGCCTTCTGGTAAGTCAGTTTCTTGCAAAGGGATCTGTGCTAATACTTCAGAGGTCGTGAGGTCAGAGCAGTCACAAATAGCAATTATTTGCGAATAATTCGGGCACCTGGGTGGCTCAGTTGGTTAAGCGTCTAACGCAGGTCATGATCTCACAATGTGTGAGATCGAGCCCTGCTGACAGTGCAAAGCCTGCTTGGGATTCTCTCTCCCCTTCTCTCTTTGCCTCTCTCTCTCTTCCTCCCTCTCAAAATGAATAAATAAACTTAAAAAAAAAGGCGAATGAGAAATTAAAAGAAACTATGGAAATAGTCTCTGGGAATATTGGTAACACATCATGCCTTGAATGACCCATGTGGCTACTCTGCGCACCCCCCTCGCCACCCCGCCCATCTCTTCTATATGGAGAAAGAGGTAAATAAACATCCATGGGGTTTTCAGGATAGAAGTTGCTAAGAAAGTGAGAAACGCTGCGAAGTGGGACACCTGGGTGGCCTGGTCGGTTAAGTGCCTGACTCTTGATTTTGAGCTCAGGTCGTGATCTCACAGTTTGTGAGATCGAGCCCCATGTCGGGCTCTGTGCTGACAGTGCGGAGTCTGCTTGGGATGCTCTCCCTCCCTCTCCCCTGTGCATGCCTGCTTTCCCTTTCTAAATAAATAATGAATGAATGAATGAATGAATTTTAAAAAAAGGAACACTGGCAAGTGATAGCGTTTTGTGGTTTGTGGGCAGAGAGATCAGGGTTGGAAGGCTAAAAAAAAAAAAAAAAAAAAAAGTGACGTGGAGAGGAGGAAGCCGACAGTGACCAGTAAACGCAGAAGTGGGGGAGGGAGTTATTCTGAGGTGAGAGGAAAGGAAAGTCACAACCGATTTTGAGGAGACAAAAAGGAAACAAGTCTAGTCACAGAAATCCCGTGTAGGTGAAATGCATTTTACCTGTGGGGTGGGAAGTTGATGTCAAAGGGCACTCTGCATCCCAAAGAGCATCGGTGACACAGGCCAGGGGAAGGCTGATTCCCTGAGTGTCCAAAATAAAGGAGGGGCTTACGGTGGAGATTTATCTTCCTTGTGTTATTGTTTAAAAGGCCATGGAAATCGTGTCTCATCATTTGAAAACCGTTAGCTCTGAAACGAGATGCTATAGGTTTCCAATATTATGACTGGGGATATTAAATCGGGTCACAATAGTGTGTCGGCAAACTCTATGTGGGCTTTCCATGCTTGTAACAGGAAAATACCCAGCGAGGTCTCCTGGAACTCTCTTTATACAGATTGTCTGCTCTTTTGCAGTAGGTCAGTGCTGCGGTCTCAGGCTCCCCCAGCGGAAATCCAACCAGAATTTAACTCCATTCTCCAGGCTTGGGGTAGGGGGCTCCCAGAAGCTCACAGCAGAGCTCCATTGGCTGACAGCCCTGACGTCTCCCATCACACCAGCCATACCCCGATGCAGCGTGTGAATCCTGGAGGCTTACAGAGGGCTTAAACACGGGACCTTGAAGTAAAAGCTCTCAGCACCCAACTAAACAAATATCTATTCTAACAGTTGTGTGTGGCTTGGTTGGAATTTTCACCGACAGCTGAAAACAGCGTCCCATGAGTTCTGTTAGCAACAGGTATTTCTGCAACATGGGTCCATATGCCCTGTATTAATATTCTATTGGGGTGTAACATGTTACCGTAAACTTAGAGGCTTAAAACAGCACTCGCCTTGTTATCGCATGGTTTCTGTGGGTCAGAAGTCTGGGCACGGCTTAACTAGGTCCTCTGTTCAGGGTCTTCCCAGGCTGACCTCAAGCTGTCAGCCGGGGCTGTGGATTCATCTGAACGTTGGGCTTCTCCTCCAAGCTCATCGGTTGTTCGGTGGAATTCGTTCTTTACAGTTATAAGATTGAGGCCTTCGGCATCTAGAGGTGTCCTGCCATTCCCTGCTATATGGCCTTCTCCACAACATGGTCGTTTGCTTCTGTAAAGTCAGCAGGAGGACTTCTGTACTGCTTCGAATCTCCCTGCCTCCTTCAGTTTCTGATCCTAGACCCTCTTTTAAAGGACTCACCTGATTAGGTCAGGCCCACCCGCGATAATCACCCTCGTGATTAATTCAAAGTCAGGTGATTAGGGGCCTTGATTACCTCTGCAAAATCCCTTCACCTTTGCCACATAATGGAATCTACTCGTGGGAGTGATATCATATTTACAGGTCCTGCTCACAGTTAATGGGGGAGTATCACACGAGATATTTCATCAGATTGTTTAAACAAGCAAACAACATTAAGGACCCAACACCACTCTGTAGATTCTGAGGCATTAGCTGTGGATCCATGACCTGAAAATGTTTCTTTATCCATAACAGTAATCACACTTTAAAGGGTCTCTCAGGCAGTGTCAGTAATAAGGCTCTTGTGACTCAAGTATTTCAATGCCGGGGCACCTGGGTGGCTCAGTCAATTAAGCATCTGACTTCAGCTCAGGTCACGGTCTCACAGTTCGTGGGTTCGAGCCCCGCGTCGGACTCTGTGCTGCCAGCTCAGAGCCTGGAGCCTGCTTCAGATTCTGTGTCTCCCTCTCTCTCTGCCCCTCCCCTACTCATTCTCTCTCTCTCTCTCAAAAATCAACATAAAAATTTTTTAAAAATTAAAATAAAGCCGAAGTGCTCCTCCTATGCTGGGCACTTTCTCGTCCTTCAAGGCTCCCCGTGCAGTGATGACACTGGGAGCCTGTCGTTCACCCCCAGGACTGGGAACATCTCATCCTCCATAAACCCACAGATCTCTCATATGCTCTTACGGGTCACAGCAACTTGTCTGGAGTTTCCTGCTCTTTTGCACCGAGTTTTTTCCTTTGTACGAAAACGTATACATCTTTCAGAAGGAAGATTGTTTATTTTTGTGTTTTGAAGATTTCCCCCCACCCCAGCTTTACGACGTTTATACTTTCTTCATATAAACAGGAAGAAAAGCAGGCTTCCTATGAACACTTTATGTGAACATGAACGCAGCTTCCTTTGAACTATTCGGCAACACCTTGTAAGCTGCGTTGTCTCGAGGAACTAGAACGTGAGAATTTTGAACTTTTAGCGGCCCAGTTACAAAAAGGGGAGTAGGTAAAATTAACTGCGATAATGCTTTTATGTTACTGAGTATATCCCAAACGCTGTCGTTTCCAGATGCCATTGATGTAAATGTGTTAATGAGACATTTTACATTCCTTTCTCTCTTTTTTTTTGTCCTAAGTGTTGAAATGCCAGTGTGCATCTCACACTAACCAAATGGCTGAGCCATATTTCAAGTGTTCAACAGCCACCCGTCTCTAGAGGCTACTGCATTGGACAACGCAGCTTTAGAGCATAAACCAGAGACAAAGGCTTTTTGCTATTCTGCCTTGTGTACGCCGACAGGAAGGCAGCAGAATGAATTTAAAGAAAACCTGTACCACACCACCCGTGCTGGTCTGTGCAGAGACCCTGC